ATTGCTTCCTAGTAAAGATGAGAACAAGAGCAACCAGAGGAAACTAACGTGTGAGGCCATGCTTAGGAGGAAAGGATGTTATCCATTTCACCACTGCTGCCACGCTGCAGAGCAGAGGGCTTGCACACATGGTCCTGTGTCTCCTGACCAAGGGTGCATTCTGAGAAATAAGTCCTCACATAAATGGCACAGAGGTTTTACTCACACCCAGACAGTTACAAATCTACAGAGCTTTGAAGCCTTGTAAAAACTAACTTATTATCACTAAAGTTTGGCAGTCTTTAGAACAGACCACTTGAAGTCATTTTTAAAATTATTTTAGCCTGGCAAACACAAGGTCCTGAGTTCAATTCCTGCTACCAAAAAACATAATAATAAATTAATAAAATAAATTATTTTATTTTACTCATGCATGGGTACATAATGTTTATATTCCTTGTGGGAAGTTGGAACATGTATGTAAACACATCCTAGTTCCTTTTTAAATCCTTTATCTCTTCACACTTTCCATCTCATCTCTCCATCTCTTGATCACCTTCTCCTTTGAGAATGATCTTCAAAGCAGACCCAATAGGAATTACTGCTCTTGCAATTGTTATTTTTATTATTGTTAGAATTTTGGCAGTTTTAGTCAATCTTCTCAAATCTAAGATTTTACTTAAGAATACTAGTAGAGAAACTGACTGTAAAATACTGAAATTTTCAGAACTTTTCCTCAGGAAAGAGTCAGCTGGTAGTTTTGAAGTTTATAAACTACTAGGAAGAACACTTTGGTCTCCTATTTGTAAACTGAAACTATGACCGAGTTTAGAATGATTTTTCCTTAAGAAAAATAAATGTCCATGGACATTCTTTTAACCCTTGAATCTAAATATCTCCATACCATTTTTATAATAAATCCACAAAAGGATAAAACACTGAGAAAAAAATCTGTATAGCATGTTTACTGTGTTCACTGCAGTAGGCAGTTTGGTAACAAGGTGCAGTCCAGCTATAATACAACAGTAAATACTTGCATATCTAAATATAGAAAAGTTTGTTGTAAAAATACAGAATACAAAGGTACATACAGTAGTGAGTCTATAACACAACTTGAGATCTGAGTCCCATGACAGGGGAAGCCACGTCATCCCACAACGGAGGAACAAGCAAGCCTCCCTCACAGCCTGGCCTCCAGGGGAGGACCTCTGAAGAGGAAGGCAGGACCTGCTGTGTTCCACAGCCCTTGGTACCACAGGCAGCCACTGCTGGGCACTCGCACTTGGGCCAGGCTGTTCTATTGTTGGCAGTCGTAGTGATGGATCTGTTGGACCTGTCTTCAGGGAGTTTCCAGAAGTGATTATAGTTTTAAGTCACAAAACAAAGCAAAGTCAGCGGCACAGAGCATCCCAGTTCACAGGCTCCCATGTGGCACCCACCTCCCTTTCATGCTGGCTGCCTTGGGGACACTCTCTCCTTAAATGCAAATTAAATGCACTCAGCTTTCTCTCTTCTCTATTACACCCGCCATCCTTTGAAGAGGCAGGGAATCTATCCTGACCATCAGGCTCCAGGCCACTGCTCTGCCTTTGTGCTCTGAGAGGGTAGGACAGCACCCCACAGGAGAAGGGGGTGTGAAGCTGGATGACGTGTACCTGTCATCTCCCCACAGTGTCAGGGAGAGAGCTCACTCGAGGCAGAATTCAGAAAACAGAGGTTATAGAAATGGAGACAAGTTAGTCTCCCTCCGCGGTGTTCCACACTTGGCCCCCGCTGTGATCAATTTTCTGTCTATCCCTCAGACATTCTTTGAATTTCATCATTTTGGATATTGGGCAAGACTGAGAATAGAGCCACTAATCCAAGGCTGGTTGCTTCTCACTCCCAGAAGGGGATTCTGGGCCAGCAGGGTAAAGCTGTGTGCCACACAGATCATGGTGCGTGTCACAGAAATGCTGAATTCCCACATTTTGCTCCTTCGTCCTCACAGTCCTCCTTGCTCACTTTGGAAGCGAAGTGCTGGGTATGTTTGACAGTGGGTATCAGGTAAAGGAGGGGACACTGTGGGCGCAAATAGGTGCAGTGACCCAGACACTGGGCCTGCAGAAAGTCATTACACATGCTCTCCTTTCCTCCCTCCCAGCCAGGTCACTAAGCCTAACTAGGCACCCTATGGTCTAGCTGCAGGTTCTCTCTCGGGGTACACTGAGGTCACATCTTGCTCTTCAGCTGACAACAGGCACAGAAATATACCACAATGACAAAACTGCTACAGACTTAGAGAAAGATCCTAGACAAAAACTCATGGGTATTATTCTTTTCCTCCCAGTCCTTTCAGACAAATGTAGTAACATAAGGAAATATTAACTTTGCTTCCCTAGAGAAGGAGAAGCGTAATCAGAGTACTGAGAAATGAGGTGGGAGATGCCAATACTTGGATGAGACAAACAAGAAACCTTCCACCCTATCCAACTGCGCCTCTCTCTGGAACACAAAGTTTTTTCATTAGTGAAACTAGAAAGAAAGATAAAAAGGCCACCGAACCAAGAGACATAAGGTTCCCTCTAGTGACTCAAGGTAAACCTCACAGGTTCTACAGACCTTTCCTGACACAGAGCACAGCTGGGCTGTGAGCCTGGCTGTGAAAACAAAGCCTGTTCCCAGATTATGTGTAAAACAGATCTCTACAACACTTACAATGGTTTTAGGAGCCCTGTAGAAACAACATGGGAAAGGAAGTCACATACAAATTACATGTCAGCAATATCATGACAAGAAATACTTCTCCTCAATATCACGCAGCCATTCCTAAGGAGCTGACTGGTCTCTGAGATGACTCAATCACCCACATGTGCCAGGCCAGGCACTGGACCCTGATGAGCCCCATCTCAGACAACATGAGCTTGTTTCAAACTCCCAGGCCTCTAGCCACCAGCCTCCCAGACACTCTCCCCAGACAGCATGCCACCCCTCGAGGTCCTTGCTGAAATTCCCTCACCCTTGGGTCTCCCCTCAGCTGGCCCAGCTCCAGGAGGAGAAAGGTCCCTTAGGGACCCTCTGCCTCTCCTACTGAAGGGACATATTGTTCATAGTTTTGTCATTAACGTATATGTGCTATCCCCTTCAGGACTGTTTCCTCCTGGAGCCAAGAGCAGTAAGGCATCATTCACTGCCTTACATGATGTAGTTACACACAATACGGCTCACAGGACAGAAACAAGAGTATCACTTGGGAGCTTATTAGAAATGGAGGTAAGCCAGGCATGGTGGCACATGCCCATAATTCTAGCACTCTGGGAGGCTGAGGCAGAAAGATCATGAGTTCAAGACCAGCCAGGGCAATTTACCAAAATCCTGTCTCAAAATAAAAAGAGCTGGGAGGTAGCAATGTGAAGGTTCGGTATTCAGTCCCTAGCACCCCGAGATGGGGTGGGGAGAAAGAAAAAATAAATGGAGGGTCTCCAACCCCACCTCAATCTTACTTAATCAGGACCTGCATTTAACAAGCCAGCCATCCAGGCCATCCATATATACATGAAGTCTGAGAAGCCTGTTAGAGACAGTAAATTGTCAACAGGTATTTTTCACAAATGCCAACCTATACAAGTCTGCCTCTCTCTCTGCTGCAATCCTGGGCACAGCAGATGAGCAGAGAGCTGGCAAGAGCAAAGAAACCAAATTCAAGCAAGAGTGGGTAGCTCAAGACTAGGTTTAGCTCTCTTGGCCAGCCATGAAGCATGACATAGTCTGTGTGTGCCATCCACAGCTGAGCTCAGAGCCACACAGCCATCACCATGTAAGCCACACAGCCACACAGCCAACAGGTGGCCTGTGCCACCTCCCCACACCCTTCACCCAGCACCATCATAAAATTTCTTGACTTGCAGAAAGAGAGGCAGAAGAATATAGAGAGCCCCTAGCTCCTTTTCCTTCCCCACTTTCCCTCTCTCCCAAACCCAATTGTGATGGTCTACACAGTGAGAAGACTGGGCATACTATTTCTTTGACTAGGATATCCAACTTTCTGTGGAAATCACTCATCCTACAGAGCCCAAAGTCCAACAGTTCATGATGCCTTCGATGGGAAATACCAGAATAAATCTCTGAGGCTTAAGTCCAACCCCGCTTCTAGAAGAACTGTTGAATCCATAGTCTATTTCCAGGTTGGTCTGGGTGTCTTAAAATGGAACATCTCCAGGAGCATTTGTCAACCAAGGGATGGCTTGGTCCCTAGAAGTCATTCTAAGCCCTCTATCTTCCCCATGACCAGCAGAGATGGGGGTGAGATCTTGCAGTCAGCCTCTGTGGCCCTTAAGACTCTTTCAGGCTCATCCTACCTGAAGCTTCCTCCAGGTCCCTCTACCTATGTCCACTCAGCACCATTTGTTTCTGGCACAACTCCTACTTTACTGCTTCATTTTTGTTGTTTTTTCTATTTTTCCGCCTGTTTTTCTGATCAACTCCACTATCGTCCGGTCTCACGCTATAACACTTCCATTTTGGGTAGTTCTAGCCGTGCATGTGGATGTGTAGGCAATTAACCCTTGTGACACAGCCTGACATCTCTTGAATTTATCCCAATTCTACTTCTGGTCCTGGAGGGTCTGAAGTAAAAACACTTCCTCAAAGCTGCTAATGCTGGCACTGGAAGACCAGAGAGTGGGTCCACCTTTCTGTCCTATTGCTGGACTCACTGCCTGGCCCATCACAGGTGTTCAACGAATATTTTTGATGACTGTGTGAATTACAAATATGCTATCTATCAGCAGATGAACAAGCTGACAATTTATTATACAAGTATTCTGATTCTGGGCATAGCTATGTTCCAAAGGCTCATGAATGCTTATAAAGTGCTTTGAAATCTGAAATAACACCATAAGGCGATGTGGTCAGCTGTTCCTGAAAAAAGACATCAGAGAAGCCAACTGTACAGTTTACCAGGAGCACAGGAGGCAGAGGTGAGGAAGAAGGGGAAGGAAAAGTGCAAAGAGGAAGTAATCAACAAACAAATTAAAACTCACCTTTATCATAATCATCATCCTCAATTGCTTTCTCCTGAAGTTTCTGAAGCTTTAATTTTAAGGACGCTGCCTGTATTGATTTTAAAGGAAAAAAAAAAAAAAAAACCAAATTACAATAGCATTCAAACAAGCTCATTTTGTAAAAGCTAAGAACACCTAGAAACTTACAAAACTTCTTGATTTGCTTTTTTAAAAACACACACACAAACGTACATTTTTCCTATGCCAAATGCATTTGTTTCTCAAGAAAAAAAAAGGTTATATGAAGGGAAAGTGTAATTTGAATGTGAAAGCCTCAAAAAGACTTAGACTGTTATTTTAAACAGAAACATCACATGATGCCCTGATCTGCATGCAGAGATGTGTGATAGGAAGGCAGACATATTTGATCAAATGGGCTCTGTCTAGGCATCACAGGAAAACCATGATGACAAACACTGAGGAGCCAGCTTTCCTAGGCTGGAAAAAATACCTGTCACCTGCAACTTAAAGAAGGAGAGGACTGCCCATGATCAGCTGGCTCTAAGGCAGAAACAGCTCCATCTTACACAGGAGCTTCCTGAGGTACAAGAAGTATCCTGGAAAAAGAAAGCTACTCGCTCCTTGGTTGCCAGGAAGCAGAAGGAGAGCAGAGCAGAAGGGAGGAGCTGGGGTCAAGATTGCACCCATCCAGATCATCTCCCCAGTGGACCACCTCCAATCAGCACCCCACGCTTCCTGGTGGCACATTCAGCTAGGGTATGGCACCCCAACAATTCATTCACCTCCAAAAATCCCCCTTTGAACCCAAAGACCTTGGGGGACATTTTACTTCTAAACATAATACCAGTGCTCAGGCTGACCAAGAGCTCAGATGAGTAACCTTAGCCTTGGCATAAACAGGACAATAAAAGCAGGCATCTCTAACATCCTCCTTCATCACACGCAGTGCCCACTGTCGGGAGCCTCTTGCTCTTGTGAAAGTCTATGAGTCCCACTCCAACAGAGTGCTTTCTACCACCACCACCACCCACCCTATTCTGAATAAAGTGAATTCCTCCTCCACACCACTGACATTCACATGCCAGAATACAGTGCTGACACTGGTTGTGATTTCCCTGCCCTGCATTAATTACACAACCACAGACAACTACAGATCAGCTGTGTCCAGACCCTAGCATCTGAGACAAGATTCGAGTTTAACTTGACATGGGAAGAAGGGAGACTTGGTTTTCTTTTGACTCAAACACTTTCCATGAAGAGTTATTTCTAGTGATGATGGTAACGTCAAGGAACCATGGTCAGGACCAGCCCATCTGAAGCACTCACAGGTCTGAGCACATGTAATCCTCAGCCTAAGGAGGCAAATGCAGCCATGGTCTCCACTTTACAGCACAGCCTCCTGAGGCACAAGACAATTAACTGTGTGGGTCACACCATCAGGAAAGGAAAGCACCAGGCTGCACAGACAGGTAGTCTCACTAACCTGCTGAGTTTCAGAGTTCTGGGGGGACAGTTTACAAACACCCACAAACCAGGGAGCCAGGACCAGGTTCCTCCAAGAATTCCAGCCATGCAGACAGTGCACAGACCAGCAGCAGCAGCCATGCCAGCTCTCTCAGGAAGAGCCTTCTGGAAAGTTATGAACAGTTACTTACTTCTAAACTGATGCAGGCAATAAAGAGAAAAGGAGATGTGTATTTAGGATTGGTGCTGTTTCTTTGTAAAACTAAAACTCATGAATTTGATGGGTGTGGTGGCGCACACCTGTAATCTCAGCACTTGGGAGGCTGAGGCAAGAGGAGTTCTGTGAATTCAAGGCCAACCTAGGCCACATAGCAAGTTCAAGGTCAGTCTGAAATACATAGCAAGATCCTGTCTCAAAAAATAAAATAAAATAAAACTCAGGAACTTAAAAGGTAAATCAAGTCACAATTCCTGGAACCTCAGCTCACATGCCTTCTGGAGACCTAGTGGCTCACAGAGCTGTCATGAAAACAGAGCAGGACCCAGAGAGCCGTATCTGCTTGGGGTCTCACAGATCCTGGTATATTCAGAGTTCCAGGTCCTCAGGAGGACATGACATATGTCTGGGTAAAGAAGTACAAAAGGGACAAGAACCACCAGTGCCACCAGAGGCCAGCTCTAATGGGCCACCTCACACTGCTATGTGACTGTTGATCACATTATGTCAACTTCAATGTGTTAAGAAACATCTGACAGAGTAATAAAGCACAGTGTGTCTGTGGATGACTGACACGTAGATCAACAAATGGACGAGGAAGACACCCTTCCCCATTGTGAGTGACACCAACCAGTAAGTTTTTAGCCTGCAAGAAATAAAAAGGGAAAGAAGGAAGTATGCCCATCTTTCAAGAGCTCCAGTCTTCCTGAGCAGGTTGGCCCTTTGCTGCCATTGCCTTTGGACATTTATCTTCAGTTCTTCAGCCTTCCAATGCAGACTCGCTTCCAATGCACTAGCAACTCTCCAAGGAGCTTCCAGGCCTTCAGCCTCAGACTGGCATTGCAGACTTGGTCCCACTTGTTCTGCAACTTCTGTCTTCTTGGAATGAGCAGCTACTAGATCCTCCAGTTCTTCAGTGTACAAATCATCACTGTGGACTCTCCCACCTCCAATCCTGTAGCCCTATCTAATAAATCCCTTTGCATAATTACAGATACATTTTCTATTGATTCTGTTCCTCCAGAGAACCCTAACCAGTACACCTTGCCTCCATGAATTTGTAGGGAACAAAGCTGACCTTTACACTGATTTTCTAACTATTGCCTCACCTAAATCAAAACTTGGATCTCTCAGATAAAGAAATGCAGACATGTTGCTAGGATTTGCTTGAATATCTCTGCACTGCAGCATTGAAAACTGCCCCTTAGAACAGGGAGAGTGTGCCAATGACAGCCTCCACCCATGCTCTGGTCATGCAAGTTCCTGTCTCTCAGATTCTCTTCTCCCACCCAAGATATTCAATTAAGAAAACAGTCAGGTATCCGTAGCCCATCTTCATGAGATTAATTACCTCACTGAAAAACACTGTTTGATCACCTGCTGAGGGTCAGGAAGCAGTACACATTGGGCATCTGCACTGTCTAGGAGAAGTGCTTCTGACTGTAGAACTCACAGCTGCATGGGGGCACGGACCACAGACAAACCATGATAGTCAGTGATGAGTGCAGTGGCAGGCAGGCCCTGGAGCTACAGGAATGGAGTGAAAGGGGGTGGGATTCATTTGGTCTAGAGAGTAGGAAAGTTCTCCCAAGAAAGTGGCTGTGGATCTTCACTAAACAAGAAACAATTTGGAGTGGAGGACATCACTGTAGGCAGAGGGAAATGGAGAGCAAAGGCAGGAGGCACAGCTTTCCCTGCATCAGCTAAAGCAGCAAGAGGAGGGGTTGGAGCCACTAAGACCCAACTGAGAAAATTCTCAATCGTAAGGATAAGGAGCCAGGTATTGTCCTAGAGCAGCAAAGAGCCAGTGAAGACAGTAAGCAGAGAATAGCACATCCACCAGTAGAAGCCAACCCTACTGGCCCCACTGAAGAGGAAAGGAAGAAGAGACATGAAGGAAATGAACTGGATCAAGAATCCCTTGCAAAACCTCAGCAAAAGCTAAGGAAGGTCTGAGCCATGGCCAAGGGCTGCAGGATGGAGGTGGCTCAGAGATCAGTGGGATGAGGGTGAGGACGTGGAGGATGCTGTGACTCTAGCCAAGGAGCTCAAAGGATTTGGTTCATTCAAATCTTCACAGGTGATGCCCTCAGAACAGATGTCATGGGAGGATGCGTCCACCTCAAGGACCAGAGAAAAGGTCACATCTCTGCCTGATGGCATGCTCTCCCTGAGTCACAAGTCAGTGGCAGCTGAGATTCCTGAGGGCCAGAACAGGGCAAATGAAGATGTGAAAGGTGACACCAGGCTACAGAGACAGAACATGGAGCAGATGAGGTGCATCTGCAGGAAATATCATGGACTTCAAAATCTCTAGATTCTCCTCAAATGCTACATGAGTGGATATTGTACTTCCTGCTCCTGTGTAGATACACAAACACATTTCAACACAGCATTTAAGAAGCTATGCAGCCTACTAGGTCAGTCTCACAGTCTCCCTACAAGGTTTCTCTGGGAGCTACTTAAGGTAGAACAGCTCTGCCTAATCTGGCTATAGCTCCCTCTCAGAGGACAGCAACAACGTGGGCCAGATATACACCTTTCCAACACAGAAGTACCCACCTTCTCTTTCAAGCCTCACAACAGTCCTATGAGGTGATATTGCATCTCAGTAAGGAAACTGAGAGCCAGAGATGTCTAATGGCCAGAAACAAAGTCTCTTAGCTCTGTGGAGAGCAGCTTTCTGTGCATGGGACAGTGAGATAAAGGAAGCAGAGGCAGGTAAAATCAGGGTCCCAATGCAGAAGTCCCTGATTCTGTACACTGCACCCTTCTAAACTTTGACCAGCTCAGTCTCCTCTGCCTCCCTTTTCCTGTTTCACAGTCAAGCTAAACTGAGCAAACCACATCTCACTTGGCCCAAGAACTGCAGAGGAAACAGCACCCAAATGGAGAACAAATCTCTGTACTTAGCCATAAAGATGGAAAGGAGAGCTTCTAGATACAGGCTGAGAAAAAAGAAAGTGCAGAGACACCTCTGCAGCCAATAACCACCATAGGAGCTATTGCAGACTCAAAGGGACATCAGCCAGCTACCGTGCTCCCTGCCCACCCTAAGCCCAGTGCCAACCTGGCACTACAGAGACACTGACCTCCAGCTGCCTTGAGCTGTTCTGCAGACAGTCATGTAGCACAGGCTCCCATCTCATCAGCAGGGCATCCCAACCATGAGCATCTTCTGAGCTGTGGCCCTTGTCACAACAGCCAGGTAGCATGGGGCCCAGCGAAGAGCCAGTGTCGAAGTCCAGGGAAGAAAGCATGTCCCACTCTGGCCAGAAGCTGCTTCTTGCCTGCTGGGCCAAGTCTGTAGAGCCCTGGGTAGCTGTGGGACTGAAGGACACTGAGAGACATTCATGGTCTTCATGAGGCCTATCTGAGCAGGCAGCCTCAGCTCCCATGTCCAGGTGGCTTCGATGAGGGGACTCAGCCTTTCTGGATGGCAAGCAGCCTTCTGCCTCTCCACGTTCCCCTACAGAGCCAAGAGAGAGCTGAATGAAGCTGAAGCTGGAAACAAAGGTTTCGTGGGGATCAGAAGAAGCTGGTGGGGTAAAGGAGCCACGCTGGAACCTGCAGCTGCTGCCATTCGCTTCTGCTGGTGCTGAAGAGTCCGTAGCCTGAGCGCTTCTTGCTCCTTCATTGCAAGCTGCATCCTGGCTAGGGACTGGGGTGTCACCACTGTCCATGGACAGACACTCCTGTTGAAGCCAAGCGTCTCCAGAGTTGCACAGCCTGTCTGTAAGCCTGGTGCCAGATCTACACTGAATCCCAAAGTGTGCTGGAGTCCCAGCTGCTCTGCTCACAGAGGTCTGGGCCCAACTTAAGTGGCCCACAGAGACCACAGAAGAGGCTGGAGAGCTCTTGCAAACAGGACTCCCCAAAGAGGGGCCTCGACATTGGCTGCTGAAGTCAAGAGCACATAGTCCAGCCCCAGATGCAGAATGATGGAACACCTCACCACTATCCCCCGCTGAGACACAGAATGGTGTGTCTGCCCCTGCAGAGAAGAACCCGATCCCAGGCCCAGGTGTGCTTCTCATGTAGCCTGGCCTCCGTGCCAGCCTCCGCCTCTGAAAGCATGCCAATGCTGAGCACTCCTGGCCACCTGGAGAAGAAAAAAAAACAGCATATCTCACTGGCTCAGCCAGAATGGTCTTCAGAGAATGTGCTGAGTTCAGGGGTCATCTCTGGGTCCATCTGTCATGACACAGGCTAGCTCAAGGGCCCAGGGCCAAGGCTATGTACAAATGCTAATGACTCTCAGGAAGTGCTGGTCTCATATGCAAGTGTCAGGAAAGTACTTGAGCCCTTTGCAAGCAGAGCAGCTAGCACTGCAGTTAAGTCATGCAATGCCTCAGCACGAACTCGGTGGCTAGAGATGTGGTGGCTCCTAGGCCTCCAGCATCCTGCCAGGACCCCTTCAGTGTCAGTTCTTCTGATCTAGAGAGCCCTGGGACACAATGACCTGAACTCAGAAAGCAAAGGCACAATGCAGATCAAGCTCTAGGCATGTGCCCCAGCTGCTCACTGAACAACACATGAACTGTTAGGCTCTGAGTTCTCTATGTCCCCACATGCCTGACCTGGTGCCATTGGCCACGGGTGGCTGACTAGGGCACATGCAGCCCACCATTTCACCCCCCACAGGGGACAGCAGGATACCTGCATGTGGGTTCTGAATCTGAGTTCCCCACCTTTATGTGCCCCAGGAATGGGAGCAATGACAGACACCCATTGTCTGGCTCAAACCCTGATGGAATGAACCACTTGCTGGCCATCTGACTTTCCACTAATTATTCAACCTCCCTGTGCCTCAGTTTCCTTATCAGTAAAATGGAAAGGGCATAAAAGTCCCTAACAACAATAGGGTTAGTATACATAGAACAGCACCTGGCACCCTTAAGTGTATTAGTAAAAAATACTGTTTTTTTTTTATATTCCATTGCTACTCATAATGTGTTTTTATCCACATTCATTCCATTTTATCCCTATGAAGACCATGTAAACAAACTAGGTAGGAATTACCATGTCCCGCTGTAACAAGGCTAATAAGATTCAGAAAAAATGACGTCTGAGATGCCCTTCAAGTAGGCAAATGATCAGGCCAGTCTTCTGCCTCTATCAGCCCAAAAGTGCTATGGCCTTGGGGTCCTACCAGGTCATACGTTAGGCAAGACACAGATACAAATATAGCACAGACAGCAATGGACACAACCGTAGTCACACTGCAGCCCACAGTGAGAGGTGGGACAAAACGTGACTCCAGACCTGGTCGTTCTGCCTCATCCTGGAGCACACATGGCTCCAGAACACACATGATCCCATTACCAGAGTTTTGGAGTGCCACAGCGTTCTCTAGAGATTCCCTGAGCAAAGAACTGGATAAAACAAGCATAAAAGGTAGCAAGGTTTGACATTTATTAACAGCAGGAAAAGAAGTATGTTCTGCAGAGTGTGGGACAATAAAGTAGGAAAAGAAGTACACTATGCAGGGTGAGAGTGGGGCACTGAAAGAGTTTACCATGGCCACAAGGTTAATGGCTACGACTTTTTGTATTCCCCAATCCCTAGGCTGATGTCAGATATAAGTCATCCTATCAAAACCCTGCTTGATTTTACACAAAAAGAATTGAAAACAGCACTTTCTGATTCGTCCCAGGTTGCAAGGCCTGAACACATGTGTCCTGAATCTCTGTGACTAACAGATTATGCCCATTTGTCCACCAGCTGGCCACACACTAACATCATGCCTTGTACCACAGCATGGTTCTGGAAAACACATGGTCCCGGAACAAACACAATGCCAGAGCATACATGATCCCGGCATCTCTGTCATGCTGAGCACATAACACTGGGCACTGAGAATCCCACTAAATCAGATTGTAGTCTCTGGTATGAGATATTGATAATTCTGGAGAAATGAGCTGCCTGTCTTCTGACTGAGCATCTCAAGACACCACGAGCCAAGACACATTCCTGCCAACTCCAAGATCTTGGAAAGCCAATGCCATCCAGCACACACAGAATTTTAGAAGTAGGGAAGATGGAAACAAAGATGGGTGGGAGCAGAGCAAGCCAGGGAAGTGAGGGAGGGAGCACTTAGCCCTCAGCCCAGGGAGGTCTGTACTCCTTCTATTTAGTGATAATTTTTCAAAGCCCAGAAAGCTTTGCTTTGTTCCCCCAAAAACCCAGATCCAATCTATCAAAGCCTGGGGCAGCCTTAAGGCTTGTTGCATTTCTAAGTCCCCCTTTCTCTTCCTTTTGCCTCCAAAAACAGCAGGCAGGGTAATAGTTTAAATGACAGGAAGACAGAAGACACTTCTCTTCATGATTTCTTTGCAACAGAGACCATGAAAATTGGAACCAGTGGACATAATGGAAGTATACAAGAAAGAATCATGAAAAGGGCACAGCTGTCATCCTTGCTCCAGTCAGATGGGGACCCCATCTTTCTATCTGGTGTTTCATCCTCAAGGATGCAATGCTCTTTACAGCATCAGAACTGGACTAGATGGGAGCACTGGGCCAGGGCTGTGGGAGGCAAGGAGGGAGCAGAGCAAGACCCAAAGACAGACTCTTCACCTCCAGGAAAACCAGAAAAATGTTCTCTAAAGAACAAGGAGTCCAAAATAAAGTTAGAGACAACACTGAATTCTGGCTTCAATGACCAAAGGAAAGCAATTTCACAATTTCATATCTTAAAAATTGAGTCCAATGAACTCTATATTATTTTTGGCTTAAAAAATTTTTAAGCTATTTTTTTTAACCCAAGTATCAGTCATGTTAGAAGAACAATGATAGGTGGGAAATAATTTGCGTGAAGTTCATTTCTTTTCAACACCTACAGGCTCTTTTTTGGAAGCCACTCACCAAGAGTGTACCACGGATGCCCTGATGGGAACTATGCCCCTGCCAGGGCTCCGGGAAGTGGGAAAGCCACAGGCTGCCTGCCAAAGTGCAGAGACCACTTGTGGGAGAAGTGGTGATAGAAACACGGCATGCCGCACTCCTATTCCTGCCTGCAGGCTCACAGGTCCCACCCTTGCCAGTGGCTGAGAAGCAGAGCTGTCACACAGCTGCAATCTTGATCCTCAGGAAGGACAGGGAAGGCAAAGATGGGGAAGGGGAGTTCAGAGCTGCTTATGGAGGGCACTTCTGGAATGAGCTGGGAGGAACAGAGAACACATAGACAGTAAGACTCAAAATCTGTAGAAAGATCCCATTTCCCATACCCACAAGTCCCTTTTTTATGTCTCTTTTCTCTTCTCTTATTTTTAGACAAAGATTTTGACATCCCTGTGACCAGAAATCCACTTACACTTGTACCACTCTGCCTGAAATCTCACCTATTGGGTTAGCTCAACACCCAGGCCCAGCCACCAGCCACAACTAGAGCATGGTTGTGATGTTCTCTGCCCAAGAAGGCAATGCTTCTTCCCTGGCCTGAGTACAATCAGCTCAGAGCTCAGCAAGCAGGAAGAAGGGTAAGGACAGAATGTAGGTGGGCTCTCCGTAGAGAGAGAATGTAGTGGGTCCCACTCCGTGAAACTCCAAGGTGGCCTCACCTGTTTCAGGAACAGCTGGTCTCTCTAGAGAGGGAGCCTGCACCCCCAAGCTCTTGTGCAGCCTCCTGTCCAGAAGGGGAATAATTCCAGGTAGAAGGCCAAGGATTCCCTCAGCACAGACCTGCTAGGCTTGGTTATGCAGGTTCTCTCTCCACCCTACCCCACCCAGGAGGCTTCCACTGATGGGAGATGACAGACAGGAGCTTAGGACAGATGTCCAAGGGCCTCTATCTGAAGCTCAACTGGATGCTGGGAAAATCTGCTTGGGAGACTTGGGGGAAGCATAAGTGAGTGTCAACAAGCCCAATGGGCAAGAATCCTGTGTGCTTATTTTTTCTGCTCTGCTCCCATTTCTCTAATCCTTCCGTCCTTCAACTCGAAATCCCTTCCCCATCAGCAACTGTTCCCAACCACCTAGTTTATGGGGCTTCCCTGACAGCCCATACCACAATCACTTGCAAACTACTGCTAACACCATGAGGTATTTTCTTTGATATATACAAATTGTTCTCAATTTATGTTTTGTATCAGCTTTTTGCAGTCCTTATAATACCATGAAAAAATTTTAGCATACAGTATACACAGAAAAGAATTTAAGATACATGTTTCCAGACAATGCTCACTTTTAAAATACGAAATCTGAAAATGTAGCTCATGAATTTACATGAAGTTCTTAAAACCCAGGCTCAACATGACACAGATGCATGTGTGGTTTGGGCACATCACTGTCTGCTCAGCACTCAATGATCCTAAGGCCCTACAGGGAAAAAATATGGGCCTCCTGAAGGGAAATGCTGGGACTTGAAGCAGCTGCAGAGAAGACAGGGAAAGGATACAAACTTTCATGTTCAAGAATACAGGACATGATTCAGATATAAATGCATAGTGAAGCATAAATGAATACCATATTCTCCTTTCATGGAAGGAATTTTAATCCTATCTGTCACAGTGGGGCACAAAGTCTTAAGATATTCAGATCAGTCAAAGATTCAGAGCTACAAAGAAAGCCCAAATCCCTGGGGATTAACTTGCTTCTGAAGATCAGAATCCAATAACACACTAAGCACATAGCACTGCTGAGCGTAAGTTCGTTTTCCTTCAACAATCACGAGAGCAGTTGAGGACCCTGAAGCACCTTTAGGGCACTATACTGAGTGTCTGTTGAGCACAGTGCTTCCATTCCAATGGCGGTATCTGTTTCAGGAAGCAATTGCTTGCTGGAGATAGATGTTGTATGGGTGCAAATGAGAGCAAGACACCAACCTAGGCATCCAACTGCTTGAGCTCTAGCAGAGGATATTGGTCATGAAAGCAAACATGGTTCCAGAAAGGGAGTGTACTACAGCCATCACATAGGAAGGTGAAATCGATCTGAAGTTATCTGGAGTGATCCCATGAGCTCTTTGGGTGGGTCTCATAGCTCTCACCATCCACAAGAAAGGAGACTAAGCTCCTGAAGATACTCCAGCAGAGGGCCCCCCAAATTACCTCGTGGGATAGGAGGTGCTGTACTTGATGAGAAAGAAATGAGTGCAGCTAT